CACTCTGGTGACTATTCAGGACTCGACCCTGTTGCTGCGGGGAGGCTAGGCCACAATGCCAACTCTCATGATATTGTCCATCGCGGGCCATCAAATGCTTCATCCGCTTATTCCAATGCAAACCGTTCGGACATATCGGACGATATTCCCGTGCCCGGTGTCGCACCCGGTACGGCGCAATATTATGATGACCCGTACTACACCGACGGAGCCGGGCAACCTGGAGGTCCTTTCGTGGACAACCCTTATGGCGCACCACCTGTGATCCGCGACGTACAAGCGAGACGGAATACGCGAATCGAAAATCCATCTGTATTTCCGCAACAAGGGAATGCGGGAATAGCGCAGAACTTTTAGGGGCTTCTCGGTTCCTGCCTTTCGACTGTCTTTCCTTGCGTTTAGCCGTGTTTTTCTTCTTTCTTTATTTTTACATTGTAGTCCATTCTGCTAGTCCCTCCCCGTTTGATTTTGCTTTTTCTATTTACCATCCTACTTGGAACACATTATCCACCTGGTCTGGAGAGTAGATCATTTCCGCCGCCACTTACTTTTTTCCCTTACCTTCCTTTCCCGGTCCGTCTCTGGCCTAGGTCAATATGAACGAACGCCTTCCCCCATTCTAATTAGGTCTGGGGCTTTTACCTTTTCTTCAGCGAAAAAGCCTCGAAAGTAGCCGCATGATTGCAAAACTAAGTCGAAACGAATACCCAACTTCCCCGCCTCAGAGGAACAAAAAAACCAAAAAAAAAAAAAAAAGGCCAATTAATAGGCACCTCTTTGCATGACATACCGATATCCATCCTTAATCGATTGATACCGCTTCTAAACCTCTTCAAAAGCAAGTATACCAAACCCATAGTACCTGGACCCTCCTTTTCCTCTCGCGTATCTCGTTTACCTTTTTGCTACATATCCTTCTCATCTACAGAATTTTATATATATATTTTTCCCCCAATTATCTATCTCCCTTCTTTTGTTCGGCCTGGCTGCTCCTAATTTCTTTTTAAATATAACTGTACCTATCTATATCCAACACACAATTTATTACTTCCAACCCCTTTTATTTCCTTTTGCCCTCATACGCCGTCATCACCATCACAATCGGAACCGTTCTACTATGCCTCATTTCAATCTTCTCTTCCAAAAGTCATCCACCGCATTTCCCCTCTCATGTTTTAACATGTATCACCTCGTCTCGTCCCATCTTAATACCTGGCCCCGTCTTTGCTTTGTGTTTGCCTCTCCATTGATTTTTTTTTTTTTTTTTTTTTTTTGTATCTACGAGTATATTCCCATTATTTAAATAGTAATGATTTGATTCGGTTTTTACACTCATCTCTATATGTATTCAAAATACCGCACCGGGCACTCCCGTTCCCCCAAGTCTCTTGTATAATTCTCATCAATCGCATATATGTTTGTTTATAGTATCTGTCTGGTATAATATATCGTAATAGTTCCAATATCAGTCCATGATAGCATAGCGTCGTACGAAAGAAAACATCACCCCCGGGACCGCGAGCACGTTCGATACAATTTCACTACCCGTCATGATTAAACGAGGTTTGATTCCCGATGAAAGAATGGAGCCCGACGCGGCTTTTTGAAAACAATTGACTTTTTTCTTTTTCTTCCCCTCTAACCCTAGGATGAAAACTAGCCAGGTGCGTGTGTAAGTAACTCTACAGTTTTGCATGTGTTGGTTAGTTAATCATAAAAAGTGAGATAGATGATGTAAATAATCTGTCTGCTGAGCTGGGTTTGCGTTTGTGTTCAGTTTCTTACACCCATTCATTCCCTGTCAATGTTAATGTAAAAGAGAAAAAGAAACATATCATAAGTTACCTAGATAGTAGACAGTCAGAGGAGTGAAAATCATTCAGTGTAACTATGTATATCAGTATGCACATCCTTGTTCGTTATTTCAAGAATGACCTGTGTAGTTACATAATGTCTGCTAAGATCCCATGAAGAGACCACTTTATGTAAATAATAATGAATGTATCAACCCCTGATGTGATTTAAAGCTCACTGAGATCATTTCAAGTCACTGAGAGATGTAATATTTTCTGATATGTAACTGATTGTATTGTATGTATATGTAACTGTAGACTCTATGAATTATCTAGCTAGCTCTAGAGAAGGGAGATAGAGAGATGATGCTCATCAGCAGCAATCATTTCAGCTGCATATAACACTTCACACTCACACTATATCAATCTGTGGACTCAAACACATGTGTTTTTTCCCCATTGTTATTATTGTCATGTTTTTATGCAGTGGATTGGAATATATCCATATTATATATTATGGGGTAGATAAAATAAAAATAGATTAATCATCTTGTTATTTTCTCTAGTAGATATAAAAGTCATTAGACATAGTCAGCCTCTAGTTATATGTAACTAAATGAGCGGGATAAAAACATTGGAAAAATCAGAGAAGAAAAAATAACCATTCCCCCCCTATTTCCAGTCCTGTTTATTTCTCCTTTCCTCCTTTTTGTTTATTTTTGTCAATTTCCCATATCCCCCGACCACACGACAATTAGACAGACAATTTGCTGGATGGATAGGATAGTGGGTGGCAATGGCAGTGGAAGTTAGAAAAAATGAATGAAGTGTCCCCCCCCTCCCTTCTGCCTTCCGCCTCTCACCCATCACTATGGATCCGGCCCACAGCATCAAATAAGACATATAAACGATAAAGCAAGAAGTATGTGAAAAGAAGATATGTTTCTAGTTAAGATTAGATCATTACACACGCGCCCCGGCCCTCACACCCACACACATACGGAAACGTATATTCAACCCCCCCCCCCCCCGTTACCCACAGCCTTCACCATTTCGGCCTCGAGCCCTCACCTATACCACTTTCCATAGGGCCCACGAATATATAGAAACCAGGCCCAGGCAACCACGGTTCAAATTAGGAAATGAAGGAAGCGAAGCACGGGACACCCAACCCCCGCACCAAACATAAATGAAGCAAGAAGCACGATAAATAAATTTGAAATTGTCGGCAAAGGAAATGCGAAAGGGTTTCCGAAATATCAAACCCATTTAAGAAAAAAAAAAAGAAAAAAAAAAAAAAAACCCAAACCAAAAATTAAAAATTAAAACTCCTACGTCTTCATATCCCACGTGGGCTTCAAATTTGACGTAATATCTTGCACCCGTCCCGGCAGCTTCAGGCGGCAGACGACTAACCCGATACCACCAGCGCGGATATTATACGCATGTGCTGCGGAGACGCCGGTGCGGTTGCTGCGGATGCTCTCTGAGTCACTGGCTGTTTCGGCATTTCTGAAGCGAGGGGGTGTTGCGAAAGTCGAGGGCAGTGTAGGTGCCGGATTTTGCGGAAGCGCATGACTGGGCGAAAATTGTTTAGTATACATATACATTAGTGCTTCTTTGATGAGACGAAAGGATTACTTACGGACTAGGCACGGCTGCGAGATCATCATATGAAGACGCCAAGGGGATATGTGCCGGGCGCACGGGGACATAAGGTCGTAGGCCTCCCCTGACGCGTCTCAGAACGACCTGCTTTACGTTCTTTGACGGTGGGACCAGGAGCGAAATCGATGGGAAGAATCATGGTGTCATCCTTGAGCTTGTGCGCGCTGGGGAGGATGTGGAGGGGACCTGGTGGCGGCAGTTGAGGTTTCCGGGGCATTGGCGGTCCCCGGTTAGATATCGATGAGAACGCACGAGGGCCTGGGTCACCGGAGGTTGAGGAGAATGTCCTGTGGCTTGCTGCATAGCCAAAGGCGGACGAGGCGCCTTGGTGGCGCGGTGGCTGGGCGTAGAAATTTGGCGGCATTCGGGGCGGTGGGGTCATGGCGCGGCGACCGACGGGCTGGGCGAACGGGGCTGGTTCTGGAGGGTAGAAACCCATGTCATCACCGCCGCCTCCGTAGTTGTAGGGGTCAGGGTGGTAGCCTGGATCGTACGGCATGTCTTCGTGATAGTCATCCTGGCCGTAGTCTTCGTAATATTCCTCTTGCGGAGCAGCAGGTTTGTTGCTCTCGTCAAAATACTCCTTGTAGAAGGATCGGATGCGATTGGCCCGTTGTTCAGGGTTGTCAGATGGGTCTTCTGGTGGCAGCGGGCGGATGCCGACTGTCAGACGTCGGGTGTCGAACTTGTACCCTTGGTCATCTGGGAGACCGTACATAGTAGACAGACGTGCTTTCTCGCCTGGTTGAGGGGTGTTCGGTTCTGGGGCGTCAATGTTCACCTGCGGGAGAACTAGGGTTGAGTTTCTTTTGTCATCCCCATAGTCGCTTTCGTCATCATCTGATGGAAGAGAAATGCGAGGCAATGCTTGGGCTGAGGTTGGGGCCGGAGCCGGAGTCGGAACCGAGGTCGAGGCCGGGGCGTGAGAGTGCGACTGCGACTGCCGGTGGGAACTTGATTCGGGCTGGTCATTGTCAGGAGCTGGGAGAACATATGAAGGTGCAGAAGCCGCAGGCATTGTCGTCAGATGCAATTCATCGGCTTGAGTATTCTGAGAAACGGCTTGGCCTTGTGGTGGAGGGGGCTCGCTATGGTCACCGGACACTGGAGTGGTACCTCGTTGGATGAGAGCACCCAGGTAATCATTACTCTTCCTGAGCTCGCTTCCAGGTGTGAGTGTAGTTTGGGGCACAAGTGAGCGGTCCGGAGAATGGATGCCAGATCGATCGGATACGATATTAGGGGTGGGTGTTGCTGGCTTGCGTGGAGGGCTCCTGTGGCTCTGGTTTGACCCTATAGAATGAGTGTCATTTCCATGATGAGGAGGACTCGCTCTGGACATGCGCTGTGCATTTGTGAGGAGATTAGCATGCATCTCATCACCGGCTGGAGCATGTCGAGTACTCATGCCGGTAAAACTGGAAGAATCATCAGGGAACGGCCTAAAGTGGCCGGGAAATGACCGCATAGATCCATTGTCGCTGGGGGAAAAGGCTGCCGCAGTGCGGTATTTGTCATCATCTGCATGAGCAGCTCTTGACAAGGAGTGTAGCGAGTCCTGGGAGCCATTGAGACCTGGAGGGAGGAGATACGGACTGGTCATGGTGATATCTAAAGAAAGACCACGATTCCTTCCAGTAGGCTTTTCCGCCGTGTCAGTGGTGGTCATTTCCATTCCACCCTTCCGACCATGCCGACCCTTTTTGTTGCCCGAGGGGACAATATCCAAACCGAAATCTAGAGATTTGTGTTTATCATTGGCATCTTCAAATCGTAACTTTCTAACATGGCGACGGTGCAAAATGAGGAGTACGACAATCGCAGTGACAAGGGGGATACTATACGTCACAATTAGCTGTGGTTCTTCCTCTAACTCTTATAAATTCCCCTGAAAAAGTTGGAAGGTTCTTTTTTTTCAGTTTTTTTTAAGAGAAAAAAAAAAAAAAAAAAAAAAAAAAACACAAGGGAACATACACCACTCCTAGAACGATGGGGAGTGTGGTGGAAGATAGGCTGGAGGGTCTCTCGCACACTCCTGTGGTGTCATCGGGGCCACATGATTTTATGGGTGTGGCTGCGGCCGAGGTGGAATCTGCTGCGGGAGCCCTTTTCAGGAGCAAGGTAGGCGCGACAACGGCGGTGGGAGGAGGATGAGCCCTTCTATGGAAGTGATTGTGACCATGCATAACTCGGTATTCTCTCTTTCGAGAGACGAGTTATAAATATGGAAGAGAATAGATTTTTTTTTTTTTTTTTTCTTGTGAAAGGAATCAGATCAGTCCTATTTCCTTCTTCTTCAAGACTGGAATAGAAGCCCCGAATCAACGCGGCTGTCTGACTGATATATTATTGTGACCCAAAAGGAGCGGCTTATCCCATGCCAGTGTCACGTTCACATAAGCAAAGCAACCTTGCAGTAGAAGGAGGTAACACGGGCGGCGGGGTTGGGGAGGGGGGGGGAATATTGGAAGGATTGTTTGTCGATTACGAAGAGCAATAAGTAGGACGAGACGCAGCCACGGCGACCAGAACAGAGCAAACGAACGATAGGGAGTTGGGCAATGTTGGGTGGTGGTCAAAGGAGCGGCGTGGAGGGCATAATAAGCGCCAAAAACGACAATGACGACAACAGCAGCAGACCAAAGGAGTGGAAGTTCCCAAGTGGGAAGACGATAGAGAGCGGATGAAGAAGAAGAAGAAGAAGAAGAAGAAGAAGAAGAAGAAGAGTAGGAGAAGGAAAAAGGACCAGCGAGGTTGAGGAGGGAGGGAGGTTGGTGAGATGAAGGTGAAATGAAGGTCTGAGCGAGGTGTCGATGAATCCAGCTAGTCCGGTCACGTTGTCTGCTGTCCAGCACTGTTCCGGGCGAGACGAGATGAGACTCGCGGGCTAGGGGACACAAGGTGAACGCCCTAGTACCGTTCAGGTATAGCGCCGGTTGTGTCGCCTTCCCTTATTGGCCATCTGGTCCAGGAACAGGGCTTGGCAGACACGGATAGCCGAGGGGATCTGCCAATCACAAACACTCCACGTGATTATCAGGTGGACACTAACCGCATCTGGCCCAGCGTCCTGGCCCTCCATTCCGCTTCAAGATGTGGATTACGGATCTGGAAAGTTGCCGGCTCCAACTTGAAACAAGAAACAACAGGCGTCGGAAGAACAAGGCAGGCATGGCTGATGGCTTCCAAGGTTAAGTTAGTCTCTCTCTTTATTAATATAGAAAAACCAACTTTTCCATGTGCACACCCATCAAAAATATTTGAATGCTCTGACTCATACAGCTCAGATCAATCTTCAAATCTTCCTTCTTTTTTTCATTCTGCTCTTTTCATATATTCTCTATAGTATTTACATTCCTTATACTTTTCTCTATATTCATTTTTAATCTCTGTGTTCATGGCATGCACTGCTAAATTCTCTGTAACATGATCTCATGTGATGTCATGTGCATCTCTTTGAATTCAGATGGGATTGAACAGCTGGCTCTGCAGTCTGTATGACTCTGATTAATCTGATAATGATGATAGAGGTGATACGGGGTGGAAGAGAGTGATAGGAGGAGAGAGTGATAGAGGCAGTAGAGGGGGTAGAGGGTGGAAGTGGTAGAGGGGGCTATGAGGCGGTAGAGGCGGTGATGGTGGTAGAGGTGGTAAGGGGGGGTAGAGAGGGGGTAGAGACAGGGGGAGGTGTGTGTCGCCGCGCCTCCCGCTACCGAGACGGCCGGGTACCTGTCGCCTCTGTTTACCAAATATTTTGATTTTCCGAAGCTGATGGTGAGCCTAAAAGTCTCGTGCTTG